AACGCCTGAACCGATTTCAGAAATTTAAAAGGCATTTGATGTATCTCAATGAGGACTATCGTTTTGTGCGACGATCGACCGAGCCGTTTCTTTATAGTTTTGAAAAAAATGTTAAACTTTTGCCCTCATTTAAGCTCATACAACCGAATCGATTTAACAAAATCAAAAACTGTTCGAAAGATATTAGTTGGGAATGATACTGATTAGTTTTAGGTGAAAATCTACCGAGCCGTTTTCTTGTAATTAACTGTTGAAACAAAAATTGTAGCCGATTTTTATGGAACTTTCTTTGGTTATATATATCATGGTCTTATAGAACTTACTGAAATATTACGGCCTTGCGACAAGTAGTTCAATTTTAAAAAATTATCAAAGTTTGAGAAAATGAGTAGTTTTTTAACGTTTGTTAAAATTAAAATTAGACGATTTGCTTGGTATAACGATAGAGTGTTCGTTCGTTTTCAATTAGGTGTAATAAATCCACTCGGAATACTTTTAATCAATCATAACTTAATTTATATTTTATTGATTAAGTCGATTATTTACACATATCGGAAAGTTCATGTAACTTGCCGCAAGACAAAATACCAATACCAACTAGTATAATTTTATAAATATTAGACAATGTAACAGTATTTATAATAATCTACTTGAAAGCATTTAATATTACTCGAACATTTCGTTACGCTGCGGGAAGTTCCAGCAATTTGCTTTAAGACACGATGCCATACACCACTAGTTTTTGCGTGCAATCTTAAATAGCAAATCGGGCAACACTTCCAAAAGTGTGAATCACATCCGTTTTGAAATGAATGTTTTATTGAAAATTGTGCAGTCTCATTCGTTTATCAGTGTTCCAAGAGTTTATATTGCGTCAACAAATCAAGTGTGTAAATAGGTTTTTTGATGTGAAAACGGAATAACCAAGTATAGTTAAAAACTGTAAATTATTTTTTTGCTTTTAATACATAAATTTAAATCATTTCTAGACCGATTCGGTATTGATTTTCGCGAAAAAAATAGAGTGCTTATTCTATAAAATAAATAGGTAATTTTGTGATTCGTTTCCAGTTAGTGTCTTAATAGTTTAGAGATTTTTTTAATAATACATACAATAATGTAAAAATTAGCAACAAGAAACGATTTCGAATTAAATTGCGTGCTATAATTTGATTTATCATATCTGTGCGATATCTTCAATATCAATTCAATTGTCGCGAGTGGGTTATCAGTGATAGCGTTGTTGGTAAAAATCAAAACATCAAGTGCTAGATATCATTCTATAGTTTGATTAATGGTGTTTCAAGTTTTCCATTAATAAAGAAAATGAATAAAAGTGAATACCTTCAAGCAGGGGCTGATGTCGAAAATTATAGAAGCTCTTCAAATCCTTCAACTTCTGGGGGCAAAAACGGTAAAAAACCTAAGCCATGTGGTAATGCACTTCACGGGAACATGTACCAAATAAAACTACTCATGCTCTTCCTATGTCGAGCCACTTTCTTTAATTATGATTTTAGATTGGGTACAGAAGTAGAAGAAGCGGGCAAATTTGATGATCTTTTGTTTGAATATAAAGAAGGTGGTAAAAAGTATTACAGACTTCTGCAAGCCAAACACCTGAATAAAGAAGGTACGAAAAAAATCACCTCACGTGATTTGATGGCGAATAAAACAAATGACTTTAGTCTAATAAAATATTGCAAATCTTATCACGAGATAAAGGAAGAAAAAATGTTTCAAGATGGAGTGATCAAAGATGTCATCATCTGTACTAATATTGATTTTGATGTTAACAATTTGAACCAAAACAATATAGAAATCGATGAAATACTAGATGAGGATAGAATGTTGAAAATGGAGAGTAATACGGAAAAGGAACATAAACGATATAGGTTTTGCAAAGGAAACATAGTTTTTTCATTAAAAAGTAAAATAGAAGAATATGAAAGTACATGTTATACTAATGAAGAAATAGAAGAATTTCTAGATCATTTAATTTTTGCAGTAAATCAGCCAAATGAAAAAGAAATGCAGGACATTATAAAAAGAGAAATTGGTGAAGAAGAAAAATTTGACATGGAGATGGCTAAAACTGTGTATTGCAAACTTCAAAACTTATTGTTGGATTTTGTGAAGGATAGAGAAAGCAATAAATATATTTCATGTGAAGATTGCAAATCTTTTTTTGATGAAGCCAGAAAGGGTATTTCGATCCTGTTCGGTGTGCGGGATCCTATCAACTCTTTTACAGGAAGAACGGAAATGTTGGATACTTTGCACGAATCACTTAAGAAAAATAAGATAGTTTGCATAAGTGGTCTTGGAGGAGTCGGAAAAACAGAATTGACCAGAAATATATTATCAAGTCACAGCAAAATATTTGATAATAAAATTGTATGGATAAATGCTGAGACAAAAGAGTCTCTTCAAGATTCTTTTAAGAGATTGGCTACTGATAAACTCCGATTTAAAATCAAACAATTGATAACAGCCCTAAGGAGATTCAACTATAGTAGGATGTGTACGACTTTTCTCCCGCGGTATAAAGCCTATTTGTTTTTGATAATGCCGAAATATACAAAGAACAAAAATATGGTATTGAGCAATTTCTTCCTTCATTCCTGAAAATTTAAATACGCCTCACATTTTAATAACTTCACGCAACAAAATGGCCAAAAAAATTGAAAAGATTAGTCTTGGATGTATTCACGGAAAAGAATCATCAGATTTATTCAAAGTCACTGGAGTTAGATAATGATTTAGAAATAAAGAATGCCGAAAAGTTATCACAAAAGTTGCAATATTTGCCTTTGGCACTTCAACAAGCAGTTGCGTACATAAAAATGCACGATTACCTGAAGAATATCGAAGAACAATTTACTGTTTTTGATTATTTGCAAAAATTTGAAAAGAAGACAAATGAACTGCTTGGTTTCGAATTTCCTGCAGATAACGAGAATACTTACTCTAAAACAGTTCTGGTGACTTGGAATGTTTCAATTTATGCAATAAAATGAAAGACAATGGAGACAAAGCAATAGAAGTTTTAAATCTTTTATCTTACATGGGACCCGACAATGTTCCCGTGCATTTATTTTTGCCATTATTCAATGATAAAAATGAATTGGGCATGGCCATTGAATTGTTGAAACAGTTTTCGATGATAAATTCACATGAAGGGAAAGTCAATGTCCACAGATTGGTGCAGCAAGTGATTAGATCGAACTTACAAAAGGATGAAAAAGAAGAAGAGGTTTTAAAACAAGGTTTGAATTTATTTCTATCAATAGATTTGAATTTTAAAAATATTGATCAGCCGTGTTTAGTTTGGAATTATTCCATAAAGTATAACAGGATCGTCCAACAACATTTACAACTTGTCATTTTGATTGGAATGGAATTCAACAAATCCAGAAGACATCGAGATGCCTGTACAATATTAAGGAGTATGGAAAATATAACTCATAGTGATGTAGAATTGATTGATATTGAGGGTGGCATAATGAAAGCACTACTAATTTTATTAGAGTATGATAAAGTCAAAAATATTTTTCAAGATTATTTAAATTGCGTGAAACTGATTGGGATCAAATCATCCTCTTACGTTGCATACTAAACAGTGTTTGGGTGAAATTTATAATCGTGCAGGTGATCGTAGTGAAGGATTAAAATACTATCTTCAAGTACTTGATTCCCATAGAAGAAAATTGAGAGATCAAGAAAGAAGTTTGGGAAAGCATCATTCTGATACTCTACGTACTAGAAAGGACATAGCGGACATTTTAATAGAATGTGAAAAATATGACGAAGCTCTTCAAGAATTTGAATATTTTGATTAAAAATAAAGAAGATGCTCTTGGCAAAAACCATGTCGATACCATGCGTACTATAGGTTGGAAAGGGGTTGCATTGTACGAAAAAGGCGATTATGATGCAGCACTTGATGTACTCCAAAATTTACTTCCAAAGCAGATGGAAGT